ACATGTCATTATCTATATATGTTAAGCGCTGCACTTTATTTTATGTTTAGAACTAAAGATTACTTTAATGTAATATTACACTTGGTGACTGTGACAGAGGAAGGAGCAGCAGGGAATAGCTGGGAGGGTGAATATCAGCGGATTGGTGAGGCAGTTTTACACTGATGTCTCTCTATTGAGCTTTTATCGAGCTTTTTAAGCTTCCAGCGAGACTGAAGCTTGATTAAGAATGATAAAAGCTTCTATAAAGTGAACCTGTATCTTGTCCATGCTTGCCAAAATAACAGGTTCACTTTTCTGTAGTGGCCTTTAAAGCATTTACTTACCCTACACTTACCCTACGTTTTAATCTACTGCAAGAGCATAAATATATGTAACATTCTTTCTGCTTCCCCACAATAAATATCTCAGTGCCTGTGTGGGCCATTCTCTGTACATACTGCCCACTCCTCCTTCACACTTCTCTCCTGCAAATACTGCCTGCTGTCATATCCTCCACACTCCTCCTTCACTCTTCTCTCCTGCAAATACTGCCTGCTGTCATATCCTCTACACTCCTCCTTCACACTTCTCTCCTGTAGATACTGCCTGCTTTCATATCATCCACACACACTCCTCCTGCAAATACTGCCTGCTGTCATATCCTCCACACTCCTCCTGCAGATACTGCCTGCTGTCATATCCTCCACACTCCTCCTGCAAATACTGCCTGCTGTCATATCTTCCACACACACTCCTCCTGCAAATACTGCCTGCTGTCATATCTTCCACACACACTCCTCCTGAAGATACTGCCTGCTGTCTTATCCTCCACACTCCTCCTGCAGATACTGCCTGCTGTCTTATCCTCCACACTCCTCCTGCAGATACTGCCTGCTGTCTTATCCTCCACACTCCTCCTGCAGATACTGCCTGCTGTCTTATCCTCCACACTCCTGCAAATACTGCCTGCTGTCATATCCTCCACACTCCTTCTGAAAATACTGCCTGCTGTCATATCCTCCACACTCCTCCTGCAAATACTGCCTGCTGTCATATCCTCCCACACACACTCCTCCTGCAGATACTGCCTGCTGTCATATCCTCCACACTCCTGCAGATACTGCCTGCTGTCATATCCTCCACACACACTCCTTCTGCAAATACTGCCTGCTGTCATACTTTACCACCCTAGTTTGACTTTATACTGCCCTAGCCTGACACTACACTGTCCTTGACTGACATTATATTGATCTCAGTTTTGTATTGTGTGGGGAGGAGGCACTCTGCTGCCTGTGCCCAGACTGTGTGGTGTGCAGGGATGGGAGAAGTAGCTGTGCCGCTGTCCTCTGTCCTGCAAACAGTGACCCCTGTCCTCTGCCCTGTCAGCAGTGACCCCTGATATTTTTACTGCACCCCCACATCAGAAATGCTAGATCTAGCCCTGAGTCATACCCTCCACACTCCTCTTTAGACTACACTGCTGTCTATCATACTTGTACTGTCCCTCACTCTTACAAATGCTTCCCCTGTCATACCTTCTGCACTCATCTTCTGTTCATACTCCCTACTGTCAAACACTCCACACTCCTGACTCTATCCGCACATGCTTCCCCTTGTCATACCTTCTGTACACCTCTTCTGTATATAGTGCCTGCTTGTCATACCCTCCTCTCCAACAAATAATGCCTTTATTTACCTCTTGTACTGCCCTAGGCACTCCCCACTCTTCTCCTGCACACACTACCTGCTGTCATGCCCCCTGCACTCCTCTCCTGCGCACGCTACCTGCTGTCATGCCCCCTGCACTCTTCTCCTGTGCACGCTACCTGCTGTCATGCCCCCTGCACTCCTCCCCTGCACACGCTACCTGCTGTCATGCCCCCTGCACTCCTCCCCTGCGCACGCTACCTGCTGTCATGACCCCTGCACTCCTCCCCTGCGCACGCTACCTGCTGTCATGCCCCCTGCACTCCTCCCCTGCGCAAGCTACCTGCTGTCATGCCCCCTGCACTCTTCTCCTGTGCACGCTACCTGCTGTCATGCCCCCTGCACTCTTTCTCCTGCGCACGCTACCTGCTGTCATGCCCCCTGCACTCCTCCCCTGCGCACGCTACCTGCTGTCATGCCCCCCCTGCACTCTTTTCCTGCGCACGCTACCTGCTGTCATGTCCCCTGCACTCTTCTCCTGCGCACGCTACCTGCTCTCATGCCCCCTGCACTCTTCTGCGCACGCTACCCTGCTGTCATGCCCCCTGCACTCCTCCCCTGCGCACGCTACCTGCTGTCATGCCCCTGCACTCCTCCCCTGCACACGCTACCTGCTCTCATGCCCCCTGCACTCTTCTCCTGTGCACGCTACCTGCTGTCATGCCCCTGCACTCTTCTCCTGCGCACGCTACCTGCTCTCATGCCCCCTGCACTCCTCCCCTGCGCACGCTACCTGCTCTCATGCCCCCTGCACTCCTCCCCTGCGCACGCTACCTGCTGTCATGCCCCCTGCTTTCTTCTCCTGCACACGCTACCTGCTGTCATGCCCCCTGCACTCTTCTCCTGCGCACGCTACCTGCTCTCATGCCCCCTGCACTCTTCTCCTGCGCACGCTACCTGCTCTCATGCCCCCTGCACTCTTCTCCCATGCGCACGCTACCTGCTCTCATGCCCCCTGCACTCCTCCCCTGCGCACGCTACCTGCTCTCATGCCCCCTGCACTCCTCCCCTGCGCACGCTACCTGCTGTCATGCCCCCTGCTTTCTTTCTCCTGCGCACGCTACCTGCTGTCATGCCCCCTGCACTCTTCTCCTGCGCACGCTACCTGCTCTCATGCCCCCTGCACTCTTCTCCTGCGCACGCTACCTGCTCTCATGCCCCCTGCACTCTTCTCCTGCGCACGCTACCTGCTCTCATGCCCCCTGCACTCTTCTCCTGCGCACGCTACCTGCTCTCATGCCCCCTGCACTCCTCCCCTGCGCACGCTACCTGCTGTCATGCCCCCTGCACTCTTCTCCTGCGCACGCTACCTGCTCTCATGCCCCCTGCACTCTTCTCCTGCGCACGCTACCTGCTCTCATGCCCCCTGCACTCCTCCCCTGCGCACGCTACCTGCTCTCATGCCCCTGCACTCCTCCCCTGCGCACGCTACCTGCTGTCATGCCCCCTGCTTTCTTCTCCTGCGCACGCTACCTGCTGTCATGCCCCCTGCACTCTTCTCCTGCGCACGCTACCTGCTGTCATGCCCCCTGCACTCTTCTCCTGCGCACGCTACCTGCTGTCATGCCCCCTGCACTCCTCCCCTGCGCACGCTACCTGCTGTCATGCCCCCTGCACTCTTCTCCTGCGCACGCTACCTGCTGTCATGCCCCCTGCACTCTTCTCCTGCGCACGCTACCTGCTGTCATGCCCCTGCACTCTTCTCCTGCGCACGCTACCTGCTGTCATGCCCCTGCACTCTTCTCCTGCGCACGCTACCTGCTGTCATGCCCCCTGCACTCCTCCCCTGCGCACGCTACCTGCTGTCATGCCCCCTGCACTCCTCCCCTGCGCACGCTACCTGCTCTCATGCCCCCTGCACTCTTCTCCTGCGCACGCTACCTAGCTACCTGCTCTCATGCCCCCTGCACTCTTCTCCTGCGCACGCTACCTGCTGTCATGCCCCCTGCACTCCTCCCCTGCGCACGCTACCTGCTGTCATGCCCCCTGCACTCCTCCCCTGCGCACGCTACCTACTGTCATGCCCCTGCACTCCTCCCCTGCGCACGCTACCTACTGTCATGCCCCCTGCACTCCTCCCCTGCGCACGCTACCTGCTGTCATACCCCCTGCACTCCTCTCCTGTACACACTACCCACATGGAAGAAAAATATATTTTAAATATATTTAAAAATATTCTTACCAAATATATTGACATATACAGTATTTGAAATGCTACAATTATGTTAAAAAAAATCTGAAGAATATATTTAAAAAATATATATATTTTTAAAAATATATTTTTAAAAATATATTCTTCAGATTTTTTTTAACATATAAAAAAGTCATTTTAACATATATTTTTATATATATATATTTGTAAATGCATTCCAAAAATAGATTTTTAAAGACATACAGTATATATATATATATATATATATATTGAAATATATTTTGAAATGTATTGAATATAGCCAAAATTGTAGCATTTCAAATATATGTCAATATATTTGGGAAGAATATTTTTGAAATATATTTCAGATATATTTGTCTTCCATATGGGTACCTACTGTTATACCCCCTGCACTCCTCTTCTGCACACACTACCTACTGCCATACTCCCTGAATTACATATGCTGCCTGCTAAGACACTTCTTTTGCATTGTTTGTAATAGTGTATCCCCAGTTTTGGAGTGGGCCCTTTGCTAGTGTAAAATAAACATACTACACTAAAATCACACACTTTTTACTAAGATGTAAGTTTATACATTCACATGTCACTCAACGACTTCCTTAACAGGGAATAAATTATTAATTATGAGAATAAAATAAACTAGCTGATTGTGTGGATTGTGGAATATTCATAAAAAGTGTATTCTGTATATGAACTGCAGTCACCAGTAAATGTACTTTGCTATTAAATGAGTACATTTCAGTTATTTCTCAGGGGTAGAAACAGTTTTGTTGCCTCCAGACACAGAATATTCAAAGCAGTTAAGTGGGAAAGCGAGTTTTTCTAGATGGGGTGAGAAAGTAATAGGCTAATGTTAATATGTATGTAATTAAGCAGCTGTCTGTGTTTGGATATATTATTTATTCTTTTTTACATTTATATACAGGATTAAATAACTTTTACTTCCCATTGTGACTTGTCTGATTGCATTGTAAAGGCTCATGGAGATAGGCGTTACTTTCCTGCATTTGACATGTCTTTCAAACACACACCAAACACAGGTTATCAGATTCCCATTTACCCAAAGAGGAAATTGATCTCTGGAAGTTGTGCCAAGAAAAAAGCAGTCAAAGGGCAAGAAACTAGTCACCAGTATTACCTGTAGTGTCCCTGATCATTTCCCCAATAATGACTGTGTCTCTGTATAGGGGAGTACATCTTCGTAGAGACAGTGTTTTGCTTCCTCATTTCAGAACCTTCATGAAGAACTGATAGGACATATCGTGTGGAGACACTGTGTACATGCTCAGTTTGGTGTGTATTGCTAGAGAGGTGTTTTTGTTTTCTTGGGAGAGTGCATGTGATCAGCACAGGGCCAATCAGCACTGTCCAGACAGAGGGCCAGGGGTCCTGCATCCTCCTAGAGCAAAATGAAAACTCCTCCTACAAGCTTTAAGTCAGAAGTCTGCTATAACTGCTGATGAGAAAAGGTATTTAGCAGTTTATATTTTTTTAAATAATTGCATTTCCATGTTCTGTGTACTGTGGGAGACCAGATATAGTGAATGCAGGGTCCTGGGTTTAGTAACACTTTAAAGTGTTTTTTAACCCAAAAATGAGATGTAATGTAACACAGTTTATCAATTCTTAAATTTGTTGGCAGCATTATTTTTTTAGCCTTTTTTCCATTAACTGGTGATCTGCCCAGTATCACATTTTCTGTATGTGGCTTCGTTCACACTAGCCAATGCTCTGAAAAGCCATCCATAGTGGATAGCTTTTCAGAGTGCAGCTTGCTGCCACATGTTCAGGAGGCAATCCTGCCACCTCTTGAATGCCTGTTGTTTTTGGCGATTGCCAATTCATACAGGAGGTGCTGCAATGTGGAGCCAGGTCATTGACTTGGAGGGCTGCATTTGACAGGCAGTGATGCATTAAATTACCTGAAAACATTGCAGCTGTGGCATGTAAACAGCTTCCTTTGACTATATTTTAAATTTTAAGTGGGTGGCCAGGAGATAGTAAAAACATTGACCTCAGCCAATCCCCAACAGAAGGCTTGGCAAGGGGCTGGGCCAACCTTAAAAGTTTTGGAGCCAGCTCAGAAGCAGGAGAGGGTGCACATGGAAGATGGAGAAGTGAGCCTGAGATGCAGAAGGCTGGAAGGGGCTCACTTCCAAGCAGAGGGATCTTGAAGGGAAGAAAGCTGTGAACTTCACTGGCCCCCTATGAGAAGAACACCTGGTGGCAGGGAAGGAACGGCCCAGCTGATAGGCCTGGTAGCAGCAACCTACTCAACAGCAGCACAGGAGAAGGACTCAGTGAGTACTCCTACACCCCCTGGGCCAGAAAGGTGATAGAGCATTTGGATGGGGAACTTGACTAGCTCTACACTCGGGACTGTTACATTTACCTTGCCTGGGGATTCCTCCAGACAAGCTGGATAAAGAACAGGATTTATCTGGGGTCTGGGTTGATACACTAGGAGAGGCTGGAGAGCTCTGCTAGAAGAGGATTTCTGTGTAAAGACTTGTAATATATTTCAGGAAGTTTTGTCCTTTGTTACCAGTTTTGCATCCCATTGTTACCTTACCCTTGGGCATCCCGTACACTGCTTACCTTACCCTTGGGCATCCCGTACACTGCTTACCCTTGGGCATCCCGTACACTGCTTACCTTACCCTTGGGCATCCCGTACACTGCTTACCTTACCCTTGGGCATCCCGTACACTGCTTACCTTACTCCATCCCATACACTGGCTTACCCTTGGGCATCCCATACACTGCTTACCCTATCCAAGTTCTATATACCCAATAAAACTTCATAACAAAGCCCAGGGAATGGTTTTCTGTCTCCTGAAGCTAGCCTGAATGGAAAATGTGTGATGCCTGGTTGTGCAGGACTATAGGGGGACCCAATTCTTCAGCAACTCCTAAGGGGGTGGTGCTACAGGTAGGGGCTCGTAATTCCAGGATTTTCCTATAATAACCTGCCTGCTGTTAACCCTAACAACTGAGCCAAGTAAGTAACACTGTTATTGCCATTGTCTGTAGCAACCATGCCGGGCGCGCTTAAAGATCTCCCTGCTGCTCAACAGGTGGCTGGTGAGAATGACTGTGTGCTTTAATTACCCTGCAAAACGTCAGAACCATGTGCTTTGCTGTTACTACTGCCATTGCCTGAGCAACTGGGATGGCCCTCATCCGTCTGTTTTTGGCAGATCGGATTGGATGTCTGTTTCCACCCGCAATCCATAGAGGAGAATGGAGGTTCTGATCGGGTCTGCCTGAAAAATGGACAAGTTGACCCGATCAGAACATCTGTGTGAAAGGGGCCTTAGAAAACTATGCAAAAAATTCATACCTAAACTTCAGCTTTAATAAGTTTAGTTTGAGGTTCAATAATCTAATAGTGTTACAATACATAGGTAAATTAGAATATATGTTTTCAGACATCCACTGACATTTACTGGTCCTCATTTAATAAGAGAAAGAATGTACAAAGTGCAGTAATTAATTCATACCATGCAGTCTGCACTCATCTCTCAATGCTATCATTTCTCAAAGCTGCAAAAGTGTGATTGGCTTCTATATAACAAAGCATTGTTTTTGGACTACTAAACCTTTTTTATTCTCAGTTTATAATATTTTAATCCTAAAGAGCATTCTAAAGATTTCAATACATAGAAGCTTGTCAGTTACATGAACCAACAGAATAAGATGAGGTCATAAATACAGAACCATGACCGGAAAAAAAGTATAGTAAATATCTCCATTTAACCACAACTATTTTTATCATATGGTATGTATGGGCTTGTGTCTGAGATGGCAAGGAGAGAAGGGGGTGCCGAACTACAATGTTTATATCTTTTTTTAAATGTTCCTGTGTCCTTGCCCAAACTCAAAAAAGCCTGTAAAAAAGGTACCAGGGGAATCTAATGGGGCCCCCTACTGACCCCAGGCCCTCGGGCAGCGCCCGAGTTTCCAAATGGTCAGTCCGCCCCTGTTTCTTATCATTCCTGGCAACCTCATAACACCAGGAAATTACATATTAAAGTATTCTCCTGAACATATGTTCAGATGCAGTGGTGTTGCTAGGAAAGTAATGAGGTGTCCTACTTGCTGTATACACTACACACATATGTCACAGTCCTTGTACCTACAAAATATCCTTTAACCACTTCAAGTCTGGACAATTTCACCCCCTTCCTGTCCAGGCCAATTTTCAGCTTTCAGTGCTATCACATTTTGAATGCAAATAGCACGGTCATGCATGCAATACTGTACCCATATGAATGTTTTAGCATTTTTTTGAGACAGATAAAACTTTATTTTGGTGGTATTTATACACCACTGGGATTTTTATGCTATATAAATGAAAAAGTCCAAACATTTTGAAAAAAAGTGTTTTTATTATACAATTTTGTAAATAAATAATCTTTCTTCATAAATCTTGGCTGAACTGTATTCAGCTATCTTTTTAGTAAGAAAAAAAAAAACCCAGATTAGTTTATAACCAAAAATTATGATTTTTTAAAAATATTTTTTACATTTTTATTTTATTTTTTTTATATTAGTATTAGTTTTTTTTTTTAACATACTGTCACCCTAGAGACACTGTACTACTTGTGGGGGTTTTTTTTTTTTTTACAATGATTGCTTTTACACCCATTACGGCTGTAAAAGGCAATCATTTCTCCTTCTCTCTGGCTGCATTCTTGCAGCCATTGAGAAATACTGTGAAATCTGTGATTGGTCACAGCTTGTCACATGGTACAAGCTGTTGTGAATAGCCTTGTACCATGTGACCTCTGTGATCATTCACAGATTTCACACGTAGTAAGCAATGATGTCAGGAAGTGACATCTTGCTTACTACTCTGCATGTGATCACTGATTGGCCAATCAGTGATCACATGATCGGGATCTCACACAGAGGTCCCATACTGAGCGGTGCCGTACACTCCCAGAGAGCATGCACAGACAGTGAATGTGGAGGCTGTTTATAAATGGCCACTCTCTCCTGCACTGCTCCCATTTGGCCTTTTATGAACATGGGCTGGATGGGAAGTGGTTAATTACACTAACAAAGCTCAACACAATCATTTAAAAAAAAAACAAAAAACTTCAGGACCACCTGCCGCATTGTACTGCAGACAAGCAGCTCCTACGGGCACAGAGATGTATCTGTACGTTGCTGGCCTCTTCTTCTTCCACACTACCCCACCCACCGACTCCTGTTGTGACTAGACACAGTGGGATTTTGTCAGCAGGTCCCGGTCAGTGATTCATGGTTGGGACCTGCTGATGGACTGTGTCCAATCATAGCCCAGAGGGAACAATCCCTTTGTTTCTTTGTAGAGGGAGGGAACAAAAAGATTTTTTCTAAAAAACAGCACATAATACACACATTAACACTTATTAACACCTGCCCTCCTGAGGATTTCCCCCCTCCCCTTCCTGACCAGGCCGTTTTTTGCGTTATGGTGCTGCGTTACTTTAACTGACAATTGCGCAGTCATGCAATGCCGCACCCAGATGAAATTTATGTCCTTTTTTCCCCACAAATTGAGCTTTCTTTTGGTGGTATTTGATCGTTTCTGCATTTTTTATTTTCTTTATAAGCAAATAAAGACTGACAATTGTGAGAAAAAAAACAATATTTTGGACTTTTTGCTTTTAAACATGTCCAGTAAAAAAATGTAAAAAATCAAATTTCGTCATAAATTGAGGCCAAAATATATTCTGCTACATGTCTTTGCTACAAAAAAATCCCAAAACGTGTAATTTAATTGGTTTACGTGAAAGTTACACTGTTTACAAATGACGGTATATATATACTGGGATTTTTTTTTTCCCTACTATTAATGGCGGCGATCAGCGAATTTTAGCGGGACTGCGGCGGGCATTCTGACACGGGGGGGGAAACTAACTTGGTGTCACTGACATCCCTCATGACACCAGTACAGTGATCAGTGCTAGAAAACACTGCTGACATTGTACTAATGACACTGGAATGGGTTAATGTGAAGGGCGATCGAAGGGTTAACTGTATGCTGGGAGTGTTTTATTAGGGGGCGGGGGGGGGTGGACTTCACTGTAAGCACACTGATTGGGATGGCTGTGTACAGCACAGCCATTCCGAGCAGTGTACCCAAGCTGACAGGGAGGAAGACTATAAACAAAACAGTCTTCCTCCCTGTCAGTGATTGTCAGTAATCATTGGATGCCGATGGGTAATCACGAGCCGGGACCTGGTGATTGATATTTGCGGCCGCTAATGGTGGTGTGGGGCAGCTTGCACGCGCCCCTACCCAGAGATGCAAAATCACGTATATATACTTGACTTTTTTGCGCACCCGTGCCGTCAAGTAGCAGTGTATCTGCTATACGGCGTCCAGTAAGCGGTTAAGCACACACTTAACCCCTTGAATACCTCTTCCCAGCCTGTGTCATTAGTACAGGGACAGTGTATAGTATTATCAGTGATTACTGTATTGGTGTCACTGATGATGTTAGTGTCAGTGACTTAGTTCCCACCCGATGTCAGTTAGTATCAGATTGATCAATGCACTTATCACAGTCTCACTGTAAGTCGCTGGTCACCTCCATTACTGGTATGAAAAAAAAATAATAATTCCAATATATATATTATAGTTTGTAAGCACCATAAGTTTCACACAAACCAATCAATATACACTTAGTGGCATTTTTTATACCAAAGACGTGTAGCAGAATACATTTTGTCCTAAATTCATGAAGAAATTAGATTTTTTTAAAAAAAAATTAAATTGGATGTTTTATAGCAGAAAGTAATTTTTTTCCCTAAATTTTTGGTCTTTTTGCCTTTATATCACAATTAAAAAAAACCCAGTGGTGATCAAATGCCACCAAAAGAAAGCTCTATTTGTGTGAAAACAATTATGTAAATTTCATTTGGGTACAGCATTGCATGACCATGACATTTATGAAGAAATTAGATTTTTAAAACTAATTTTATTGTATACGTTTTATAATAGAAAGTAAAAAATATAGTTTTTTTTTTTTATTTGCTCTTTTTTCATTTATATAATATAAAAATAAAAAAACCCAGTTCTGATCAAATACCACCAAAACAAAGCTCTATTTATGTGAAAAAATTATATAAATTTGCTTTTGGGCACAGAGTAGTTTGACCATGCAATTATCAATTAAAGAAGCGTAGTGCTAAATAGCAAAAAAATGGCCAGGTCAGCCCTGCTGCTTTCTGACACTTCCAGGAGTGTCAGATAGCATGTCCCCACTTGGTGCCATGGTTCCTCCCATCAGTCTCTATGTTACTTCAAGACTCAGTGTGAAACCACAGCACCCAGCAGGGAACACGTTATCTGACATACCTTGCAGCAGTTTTACTATTACTATTTACTTTTGCTATTAAAGGTCAAAGCAACAGGTTTACAATTATGGTTGTCAGCACCTCAGACTACTTGCTGCCATCTATTCTTTAAGAAAATTTTGATTGCTGGGCTGTACCATCCAGTTACAGCACTAAACATAAATCAGACTTTAAGGTGTTTACAACAAAGCATTTTCATTTAATTTTCAGAACATTTAACATGGTTGCAGACAAAAAGGGTCAGCATGAAAACAAAACCTTAAATCACATGTGCTTAGGGTATCATGATCTCAGCCTTCGAGCTGTTTTTTTTTTTTTTATATATATATATATATAAAAAATATATAAAAATATATATATACTGTATATAGATGTATCTACGGTATATATATATATATATATATATATATATACTGTATTTAGTAATTTGCTACAGATAATAAAATTGAAAATCTATTTTAAATATAATTCAAGGGGTGGTTAATTGTACTGAACTTAGTGCCTTTATTTTATTAGATCCCATGGAATGGTCCTCGGGTAACGTTCAGAAGTGGATTCTATGGACAGAACACCAGTATCGCCTTCCACAAGTGGGTCGTAGCTTTCAGGATCTAATCTGGAAGAGACTTGTGTGCCCTAAATGAAGATGGTTTCCGAGACAGGTCTCCACTATGTGGGGATGTCTTGTATGCTCACCTGGACATATGGAAGTCAGGTAAAACAATAACAGTGGAAATCATATGTGACATTTATGATTAACTCTAGAAAGCATTTAACCTATCTTAAAGTGTATGTAAATCCACACAGTGAACTTCTCTTAATTAACATTTGGTCTGTTAACCCCTTTTTGAAGGCAATACAGAGGGCAGGTGGGTGGTTGGAGCCTGGGGGGTCCATTGGTAACTCCAGAATTGTGCCCAAGCTGTCAATAGCAGCTCATGGTGAACTTCTGATGATCAGGAGCTGGTAGGATGGGCTCCCAATAACTCTAGAACTATGTGGTCACAGTGCCACATGATTGGGAGCTCCTCCTACCTGCCTTCATCACAGTCTCTGTATAACACTGACTTCTGGTTAAAGCAATACTAAAAGGTTGTTTTTTTTTGTACAAAACATATCATACTTACCTGCTCTGTGTAGTGGTTTTGCACAGAGCAGCATGGATCCTCCTCTTTTCGGGTCCCCATCAGGCTCTCCTGGCTCCTCCTTTCTATTGGGTGACCCCATAGCAAGCAGCTTGCTATGGGGGCACCTGACTGGCTGTGATTGACAGCAGCGGGAGCCAATGTCTCCCGCTTACTGTCTCAGCCAATGAAGAGGCAGAGACCTGGGACAGCCGAGGCTGTCGTGCACATTGCTGGATCTCGATGGGGCTCAGGTAAGTATTGAGGGGGTTGGGGGCACTGCTGTACACAGAAGGTTTTTTACCTTCATGCATAGAATACATGAAGGTAAAAACCCTTGAGCCTTTGCAACCACTTTAAATGTACCAGTGAAAGTGTTCTGCTGATCATTTCAGATGTTCAAAGCTGCTTTATGTTCAGTGTGCACTTCCTGAGCTATCACAAGTAGACAAATTCGCTCTCATAGTTCTTATCTTAGACTACAGAATATTCATTGTCTATGTTGTAGAGATAGGAATGTGCCAGTGTTTGGGTTAAAGGCTCAAGATTTTTTAGCTTCATGCATTGAATAAAAAAACTTCTGTTTGCAGCAGCTCCCCACAGCCCCCTAATACCTATCTGAGCCTGCTCTCAATCCAGCGATGTGCACAAGAGCCTTGGCTGTCCCAGGTCACTTGAGCAGGCTCACTCCTGAACCGCTGCTCTGAGTGTCCATTTACACACAGGAACGGCGCAGCCCCACTCCCGTCCTCTACTCAATGACTCACTAGCTGTGATTGACATAGAAGGAGCCAATGAGGAGGGAGAGACCAGGGACAGCCAAGGCTCTGCACATCGCTGGATTAGGATCAGGCTCAGGTAGGTATTCGGGGGAGCTGCAAACACAGAAGGTTTTTTTTTTATAATAGAATGCGTGAAGGTAAAAATCTTTAGCCTTTAACTACCCAAACACTGCAACATTCCTATCTCTACACCATAGACAATGTATATTCTTTAGTCCACGATAAGAACTATGGTTCTAAGCTGCTTGATGTGGAGGCACTTGGCAGGAGGAGGGGCCAGGACTGCCAGCGGGGGGACCAGAGAGGAGGATCTCCAGGGACTAATATGAATTTACAATATATACAGTGGGGATCGAAAGTTTGGGCACCCCAGCTAAACATTTGTATTAATGTGCATAAAGAAGCCAAGGAAAGATGGAAAAATCTCCAAAAGGCATCAAATTACAGATTAGACATTCTTATAATATGTCAACAAAAGTTAGATTTTATTTCCATCATTTACACTTTCAAAATAACAGAAAACAAAAAATGACGTCTGCAAAAGTTTGGGCACCCTGCAGAGTTAATATCTTGTACTGCCCCCTTTGGCAAGTATCACAGCTTGTAAACGCTTTTTGTAGCCAGCCAAGAGTCTTTCAATTCTTGTTTGAGGTATCTTTGCCCATTCTTCCTTACAAAAGTCTTCCAGTTCTTTGAGATTTCTGGGCTGTCTGTCATGCACTGCTCTTTTAAGGTCTATCCATAGATTTGCAATTATGTTGAGGTCAGGAGATTGTGAAGGCCATGGCAAAACCTTC